TAATTTTCTCTACCGCAAATCTTCATATTATCTCTCATTATCCTCGTATTGGTTTCCTATTGCTGTTGTAACAAATTACCGCAAACTTGGCTACTTGAAACAATACACATTTATTCGCTTACAGCTGTGAAGGGCAGAAGTCCAAAATCAGTTTTACTGGGCCTAAATTGAGGAGTTAGAAGGATTACACTCCCACAGTGGCTCTAGGAAGAATCAGTCTTCTTCTCTTTTCCAGATTCTAGAGCTGCATTCCTAGCATTCCTTGATAACCCCTTCTTCCATCTTCAAAGGCAACATTGTAATATCTCACCTCAGTCCATCACATTGCTTTCTGCTCTAGAGTCAAATCTCCCTATGCCTCCTCTTATAGGGACACTTATGTTTGCGTTTAGGACCAACCCAGAAAATCCATATTTCGAGATCCTGAACTTAATCACATCTGCAATGTCTCTTTTGCCACATAAAATAAAATTCACCAGTTTTAGAGATTAGGACCTGGATATCTTTGGGAGCCAGTATTCAGCCTACTACAATCCTGTGGGGAAAAAAAAACCATACAAATTATTTATTCTAATACTCAAAGGATCTAGTACTCATCTGTCTACAATTACGTTTCCACCCACTCTTTTCATATGTTTCTTCCAACTCCTAGTACTTTTTTTTTTCTTCTATTCAGATTTTAGCTATTTTAATGGATTATCCATCAAGTTCAAGATTTTAGCTCTTCTTTTACACATGCCTGATCTGATCACTTCAGACAACAGAGATAAGTTCATCTCTTAAGATATGATATTATTATCCTGTATCTAGTACCTTGTATACAGGTGCATGTTTCTTTCATTTATGCCTTTTTCCCACAGTAGCTGGTACAATGCCTTACATACAGAAGTTTCTCATTTGCTTACCTGTAAATATCTTCTACTCATTAACCACTCTATTATTATTCTGCCCCCATAGTAGGTCATCTCCTGTAATATCATTACATTTCTCCCCACTAGGTCCAAATGCCTATCCAACCACTCTAGGCCTACATGAACATGCCTTCACTTTTATAATTTACGGACAGGTGACTGTCTGACATGAGGAATAAAACTACAAAATAAAAAAATATGATGAACAGATTTTTGAACTGTGATGAGAACAAATTTGCATCAGTATAATTTGCCATGCATTTAGTGATGTTCATAGCCATGATCATAGTGCCTGGTAAATAGGCCCAAAAGGAAGCAGCCCGTAAAAATGTTTACAGTGAGTATGATTTTTGTAAAGATAGCTGAGCAATTCCAGAATTTTCTAAAGGAAGGCAAGAGGGAATTTCTAAAGCTGACTAGGGAGCAGCTCAGAGGCACTCCTTTAAAAGGGCTGGATGTGTACCCAGGGTGAGTTCAGCAATTCGTGCTGCTCTTGTCTTTTTCCACCTGGGCAACTCAGGGCTATGTGTTCCATGAGCCTTGGATGAACAGGTTGCTCCACTGGGGCTGAAACCAGGCCAGATTGAATATTGGCCTTTGAGTGAAAGTCTTATGGGTGGCCTGGCTCTAGAAATCTGTCCAACTTGTCACCATATCTGAACAGTGATTTTGAATACAAGACACACAGGGAAGAACACATAAAGTTAAGTGGTACAAAGCCTGGAAGGAAAATAGGAAGCAGAAACATGTAGGGTACAAAAGGGAGATGTAAGTTGATGGCACAATCTGGTCAAGAGAAGAGAGCATGAAAGTTGGATGAGGAAGGGATAGAAGGTGAAAGGTGTCACCAACGGAGAAGTAAGAGTCATCACTCTTCATGGAGGCACATTTCAAGAGCCCGTGCTCCCAACTTTGCTTCCCCAATTCCTCCTCTAACAGGCCCTGCCTTCCGTGCCCAGGAGAGCTCTCAGAAGGGGTATTGAAAGTGACAGGACAGAGATCTCATGGAGGACATGGGATTCTTGGAACAGCCTGAGCTGGAGAGACAAGGAGCGCACACGCCAGCAGCATAGCCTGCAGCTGTCACATGCCCAGGGCTCTGCCAGCTCACCTGGCCCTGCTCTATGACATTACACGAGACAAGCCCCAGGGCCTCCTCAAGCCCTCCTACAAGGACCTGAACTCAAAGTCATCAGAGCTGAGTGAGCTGAGCCTCTTACCTAAAGGATGTATAAGAGGAGGGAGGAGTGTCAGCAGTGGAGTAAAGAAACCAAACATGCAGAGGGTCTGAAAGCTAGAATGGGGCTGAGTTCAAATAGTTCTCCAGAAAGACAGCAAACACCCCAATTTGTCTTCCCAGGAAGAGTGCATGAGAATGTCCCCTTTCCTGCCCCTATGCCAGCACTATGTTATTTTAAAAAATCTTATTTCTGCAGATTGGGCAGGTTAAAAAAAAATTATATCACATTGTTTTGTTTTGTTTTGCGGTACGCAGGCCTCTCACTGCTGTGGCCTTTCCCGTTGCGGAGCACAGGCTCCGGACGCGCAGGCCTGTCAGTGGCCATGGCTCACGGGCCCAGCCGCTCTGCGGCATGTGGGATCTTCCCGGACTGGGGCACGAACCCGTGTCCCCTGCATCGGCAGGCGGACTCTCAACCACTGTGCCACCAGGGAAGCCCTAAAATGTCACAATTTATTTGAATTGCGATTTGATCCTTATTAAATGAAAATACTCTGAGGATAGATTCCATCTGATAATCCTCAGTTACTTACACTTTAATAGGAATGCATTTATCTGCAAGATTTTTTTTTTTTTAATTAGAAAAGGAGGTTAGGGGAAGAAGGGAAGAAAAAGCACTGAGAAGGAAAGAAAGGACAATTAAGCCTAGGGAGAGGGATAGGAAACGGAATCAGAATTCAGAACATAGAAACACGGGCCTAAAGAACACATTTCAGCTACTTTTGCCCAGGAAATGATGCTGCTACCAGGACCCAATGCGTCATATGATAGGGACCAGCTGTTTTCTGCTCAGCATCTATTTAGATGCTGGGGGCTCTGCTTCCTTGACGACATTCACACTTTCACGAAGACAACAATGACAATGGGATTTCCACAGAAAAATGAATAATAGAACTCAGCTGCAGAAGGGCCACCCAGAGAGGTAAGCCTTTACTTACAATGTTGCAAAGTGTCCTTTACACATGATGGCCATCCTTTTCCCTCCATAAATCTAATCAATCTGTTAGAACTTGATGTTTACCAATGACAGAGTTAACAACTAGCATAGGTTGATCTGACCTTAAATTAAGTACAAATAAATAATGCAAAAGTTGACGTCTCTCAACTGAAAATATAAGAACAGAAAGGGTCCTCTAAATCTTGTGCATTGCCCGTGTCTGCTCCAGCTCTCTCTATGAGTTTCTGGCTATCACTTACAGGATTAAAATGTCATAGCTCAGAATTAGTGATCTCATAATCTGGCCCTTACTTGCCAATTACTCCCTTTTTTTTTTTCACTACCCCCCAGTACTAATCTCCCCACCCCCGGCAACTCCAACGAGACCAATTTCTAGACTCCCTAAGAAATAGAATTGTGGAGTAATAGACGAGGAAAGAATCTCAAAGATTATCTAGTTCAAGCTCCTCACTTTACAGATGAGGAAACTGATAGGAACAGAACTTAATCAAATCCCCAGACTTAGGAACCTCTCTTTCACTTCCTTCTCTTCCTTTGCCCTCTCACTCTAAAGATCCTCTGCCCGTAGCTGAATGAGGAGGAACTAAAAAAAACAGTCCAGCTGTAAGAACTAATAGGGGAAAGGAATGATTAGTGTGAGTCAAAGTCCTCTCTGTTCCTTCTGAGGAAATAGATTGAACCCTGAGGGTCTTGATCCCTCCCTCGGAAATCCTTATCCATTTCTTTCTAGCCTTTAAGGGAAATGGTTTCTGACCAGTCAGGCATCTTCTGATCTGCTTTTCCCTTTCAGCAGGGCACAGAGGCATCTTCTGAATAGGAGCAGGTACAGCTTAAGTTATACACATCGTCCTTAAAGAGGACCTTAAGAGATGACCCCAACCGCCTCTACACGTAGGATAAAGTCTGGGATTAGTGTGAGATGAATGAGGTACTCGCTGCATGTACAAAATGTTAAAGGCCCAATAATCAAGATAAATAATATTTTATTGCAATATTTAAAAATAAATTGAATGTATATGACGCAAATGAACCTATCTACGAAACAGAAACAGACTCACAGACATAGAGAACAGACTTGTGGTTGCCAAGGGGGAAGGGGATGAGGGAGGGATGACTGGGAGTTTGGGGTTAGCAACTGCAAACTATTATATATAGAATGGATAAACAACAAGGCCCTATTGTATAGCACAGGGAACTATATTCAATAGCCTGTGATAAGCCACAATAGAAGAGAATATAAAAAAAAATATGTATATGTATAATTGAATCACTTTGCTGTACAGCAGAAATTAACACAACATTGTAAATCAACTATACTTCCAAATAAATAAATAAATTTAATGCAAAATAATCCCTGATGAACAATTATCAAAATTTTAACCGCAAAAAATAAATTTTTTTTTAAAATAACAGGATCTGACCCTGCATTGGTACAACTCGTGTACCCACCTCATCCTAAATCTAACCCTGTCAGAATGGGTCTTGATTTAAAATTCAGATATTTTGTTCATCAGGGATTTTTGCATTAATTTTGATTTTTAAAAAAGTTATTTCTCTATATTGCTCAGGGGGTTTTGGTGCTCCTTCAATTTTGCGTGTGAAGTGAGTCCCTCACCTTACCTAATCCCAGTCCTGTGTAGGATTCACTCTTGGCTCTCATCAAATGAAAAAGGACAAGGAATTAAAACACATGCAGAGTTTATGGTTTAATTCGGTAGATTTTCTTTTATTAAAGCAGAATAAAAAGATCCCAGCTCAACAATACTGAAAGGATAAATGCATTTCACCCAAGGCATGACCCCATGTCCACAACTCAGGTGCGCCTCAGGGAGAACCAGCATCAGTGCCTCTGCGAGAGGAGATGAGAGGGCGGCCAGCTCAGATGCTCAGGTTATTCATCATATCTCTGGATATTAACTGCCCCCATGTCATCACAAGTGACGACAATAAACCCCTCTGTGGGGGAAATGTGGTAGCTGCAGGCAGGATATCTGGTGCCTTCAATGAGCTTGCAGACTGTCATTTTGAACTTGGTCTCACTCTGGAAGCAGAGAAGGGTGGAATGGTTTTGGCAAGCCACCTTCCTGAGAGAATTGCAAACACTGTTGATATTTCGAGGCCTCTCATGGACGAAGACGTGCTCCTTTTTGCAGGTGTTGTTGGCTTCCTTGATGAGTCTTTGTATGATCATGTGGTTGCAGTACCTTACAGGAACGTCACTCTGAGGGTAGTCCACGTGCAACTGCTCTAAGGTTGCTGCCATTACTTCCTCATCCAGCTCATTTTCCCAGAATAGAAGCAGCAGGAAAAGTATCACCATTAGTATTATCAGGGGTATGAGGTCCTTCACATCTTTTGCTCTAACTCCTATAGAGTAAGAGGAGACAGAAAATATCAGGGGGTAATCAGATTCCTCCAGCACCATCCCCTGACTTTGCTCCCCTAGCCTTTGATATTTTATTTCCTTCTCTCTGTTGGTGAAAATCATGCTAACCCTGCAAGGTCCAGCTGGAGGTCCAGCTCCCCAAGAAAGCCGTTTCTGACCATTTCAGCTCTCAGAGTTTGGCACTGAACTGTTCTCTAATTTTTCCTGTTGTATTGTGTTTGTTGACCTCCACAGCTCCTTGACAGTCAGTATCTCATCTCCTATTTCTCCTGAATCCCTCAGAATGTTTAACATGGAGCAGAACATACAGAAGGTATTAAAAGTACCCTTGTCTGATTGTTTTATTCGTATTGCTGAATGACTTTCTTTCCCATGATTGTTTTAACCTTGATCCCACCAAATTCAATATGCTTTTAGCGCTTTCTATTAATCTGTTCTTCCCAGTTCCTTCCTAATCTCTCCCTCTGTCAGTCCTACTTGGTTCTGTGCTACATCCTCTCACCTTTCCTTTTTGCTGTAACTCTCACAGGTAACATATCCTTGTGATCATGGATCCAAGAAAGTCCTTTGTGTCTCACTGTTCCCAGACAATAACTGGTAGGGTGCCAGCTGTGTGTGGGGAGGCCAAGGGGAAAAAGCAGAAAGGGAGGAGCCTGTAGGAGGGGAGTGTGCTTGGCTGCCAGCGGGAAGAGAAGTTACTTTCAGAGGGACAGTTGGGTAAGGCAGGTCCTGAATGTGTCCTCACTAAACAAGCGTTGATATTTCAAAACATTTATTATAGTCCTGAAGTGTGCCAGATGCAGTACGGTTTATTTTCCAAATTTTCATCGGTCCTTACTACAAACCTGTGAAGTAGCTGTTATCTCCATTTCATTAATGAAGAAATGAGTTGCAGAAAGTTTCAGGTAGAGATGTGAGATGGCAAGAGTAATAAAAATCTCACTTTCTCAATGCTTAACCCTTGAACTCCAGTTTCAGCAAGTTTCATTCCCACGTGGTGTCCAGGACAGGGCAGAAACAATTCCCTGACGTTAACATTAGTCTTGATAAAGCCCCGGACTCCTGGCAAGTATGGCAATGGTTTCCAATCTCTGCTGAACATTGGAATCTCCAAGGCATTTTTTAATGCCACCTTGAGGCATTCTGCTTTAATTAGTGTTGGGTAAGACCTGGGAGTTGAGATTATTAAAAGCTTTCCCAGTGACTCTAATATGCAGCAAAATTTGAGAACCACTGAATTATAGTATACTTGGGAGACCTACATGGAAAATTAGTAGATGAGGGCTTGGTAAAAGATAGTGAGTGGCTCAAGGTATTGAAACAATAGAATTCTTTTTGTTGCCAACATCTCCCAGTCTTTGATATAGGCGTGGAAAAAATGGACTTAATTGTACTATTTCTTGCTCTGAAATGATTTCTTTTTTGGAAAGACAGCTACATAGCCTCCTTTGTATGTATCTGTGTCTTTCTAATTGTCAACTAGAAAGCTATTTGGGGGTTAAAACTTGTCTGGGAAAGACAGAGAATCCTAGAAAAGACTTCAAAGAATGTGTCTCTTTGTATGCAACAAAAACAAAAGCATAATTCAAGACCATGAAAATGAACAAGCAGGAGGTGATTATTTACTTTCCAGAAACTTTCATTCTGGTTGTCCTTTCACAATTCAAACTGCTCTGTTATGGATACGTGTTGCAAAAATGCCACAAGGGTATAAGTGCATAGTTACTAACTGTTGACAAATTTTTCAATTAACAGATTTTGATTTTCACACCGTCTTGCAAAAACATTGCCATTGTATAAAAAGAACTCTTTCTACCTATTGTGACATGTTCAATATTTCCTTCCAGGACTTCCAAGCAACCAAATTACAGATGTTATACTAAGTTTACAGGCAAGGAATCAACACTTGTTACAAAATTTATCCTCAACTGAGGCAACTCGACCTACCTCTACATTTCAGAGTTTTACCCTCCTGAAATAGAGTTGTTTAATAGTGCTGGCAGCCTCGGAGAAAACATTTGTAATGCCTAAAACCAACTAAGGATTAACATCTAGAGATAAGGATTTCCTCCATATCAACAATAAAAAGACACAAAAACTCCAGAGGAGAAAAGACTGTCAAAAGTTATAAAAAGTCAATTTCAGAAGAGGAAGCGAAAATGGATGACGAACAATGCTTAACTTCGTTAGTAATCAGATAAATGGAAATTAACATAACCAAAAGATATCGATTTATAACCATTGGATTATCAACAATTAGAAAATCTAATATCAAGTGCTGGAAAACATGTTACAGGGCAGGAGAATTGGTGTAGTGATATTGGAAACTAATCTGGAAGTATTTGGCAAAATTATAAATGGGTATAATCTGAGACTTTGTAAGCCTGTCCCGGGCATAGACTTCAACATAGTTCTTCCAGATGGAGTACGTGCAGGGATGTTCATCATGGCATAACTGGTGGCAGAAAAGAGCTAAAGGTAACTGAAATGTCCCTCGTGAAGGGGATGGACAGGTAAACATGTGTTACATACATAAAATAAAATAGTATAAAACAGCTTCAAATAATGCACTAGCTTTACAAATAGCAACAGGCTATTTGGTGTGGTGTGAAAAAAAGAAACAATGAAAATCATTTCCAGTTGATTTAAATTGAAAACACGCATGCTCCAAAATAATACAAAAAATTTTCCAAGGACATACAATATTTAAGTAGGATGGAAGAACGTGGATTAAATACTCTAAGACAGATGCCCATGAGGATGAGAGAAATAGAAGCAGGGATAAGGAATAAAAAGGGAAAATAATAAAATTGAATAAAACAAAAGAGAGGTCTAGCATGGGCCATAAACAGAATATGATCAACTCAATTTTGCACACCTGAAGAGGGAAGGGAGGAAAGAAGAAAAGAGGGAAAGAAGGAAGGAAGGGGATGGAGGGGAAAGAGGAGGAAGAGGTGGAGAAGGGGAGGAAGAAACTGGGCCTATTATCAGATGACTGCATTTGACCTAAAGTTCCCACCACCCTCCCTTTGCTAAGCCTCAAGTCACCCTCAGGAGACTGCAGGAGGCAGGTAGTGGCTGGAGACAAATATTTGTGCCAGGATGTAAAACAACATTAGTAATTCCCCTCACCACTCATTTTGTCAAATTAATAAGCTCTCCTCCAGGACTGCTAGAAACCGACCCAGCTCCAGTATTGCCTGAGACTAGGCAACGGCCTCAAAGGGACTGCAAAGGAAGCGAACACTCACTCTGGATGCCTTCAGCTGCCACGTATGATGTTCGACCATGTTGAGGCCACCAGTGGAGAGAACACATGGAGGGAGAGAAATTCTCAAACAGCTCCGGCTGCTTCAGTGCCTTCAGAAAACTGTGGAGGTTATTCTGTCCTGCAGAGGTGGTTGGCTACCCTTGCAAGACTTCTACGGTTGCCCCATGCCATGCTCACCTTAAAGTCACGCAGCAGATTGTAGTTTCCCCAAAATGGCCACAAAACATTTTCTATCCCACAGTCTCTTCCAGAGCCTTACCACTCCCTTAGCAAGAGGTAGAGTCTCTGTCCTTTCCTGAGAACCTGGGTGGGCCTCTGTTTGCTCCCACTTACACGGCATGGCATGACCTCTGAGCCGTGGTCACACAGCTTCCACTGGGCTGTGGTTCTCCTAGGACGTTGCCTCTGGGGGTCGCGTAGAAAGAAGTCTGACTGTGTCGAGGCCACACAGGGAGAAGCCACAGAGAGAGAGAGATGCCCAGAATGCTCCACGTGTTTCAGCTCCCTGTGAATAAAACCACACGCGAGGCCTCGAGCGAGAACTGCCCAGTTGAGCTCAACCTCCAGATTCAGGAGCAAATGAGTGTTGTTACCGTTTTCGGCCACCATTTGGAGGTCATCTGTAAAGCAGCCATAGACAACCAGACTAGAGGGCTCACCACTCTGACACATGTCCCCGAGCAAATCCAATTCCACTGCGTTTTAGCAAGTAATAGATACCACGGACGTTTTCTTGGTTATAGAGTACAGGTTGTCTCGCAAACAAGACAAAACTAGTTTTTAAAATCTCCATCTGCGGTAATAACCCCCAAGTTCCTTTTTAACTCCCCCATCTTTCTCCATCTCTGCCCTGAGAGCCTCCCTTCTCCGTGGTGCCAGCTCCTCTGTGTCTCCTGGATTCCACCTGCCCCTCTGTGCCCCCTACCTTCCCATCAATCACCCTGTGACCAAAGAAAGACCCTTCCTGAGCATCGAGTCACTTAAAAACTGAGTGGAGTATTGTAAGTAACAAATATTTTGCTACCCAGCTGGTATAGATCTTATTCTACAAACTCGGGCAAGAACATTGGCTTCACCTTATTGCTTCTATATCAAATTAAAACGAATTCTAGGTCTTTTGCCCTACTAATCTGGGGAGGAGTTCAACTTGGTCATTATTACAGTTTCCCTTTCCTCCCCAGGGACCCAGGGGGATCTGGAAGGATACTGTCCTTGCTCCTTCCCACTATGGAACCTGTATTAGGCAACAGCACTAACTGGGGGACAAACATTCTAATTAGCTTCCCTTATAAAAACTCCTCGAGTACAGGGTTCAGATTCAGGATCTTGATTCATGGTTGTACTAAGACTTGATTTCCTCAGTACTGACTCTATGGGATTTTTGTCACCTACTGTAAGGAACTTTTATCATTCACATGTTATTCCATTCAATGCATGTTTATTGAACACCTACCTATGCCAGACACTATTCTAGACACTTGGGACACATCAGTGAAAAGACAAAGATCCCTATCCCCCAACTGACTCTAAATCAATCCCTGAATATGAAAGTTGATAATTAAAATATAAGAATTGCACATTTATTCTGCCTAGCCCATAGGAACTATATTTCAGGGTAACCAAAGAGCTTTCATGTGGTAAGGGAAAGTTCTTCTTTAGAGAAGAATAATAACTAATAGATATGAAAAGAATGATAAAATTTTTAAAAGTCGCCATTTTATAATCATTTATGAAATTATTAAGTCAGGCAAAATGTATTTGGTAGGTCGTAAAACCATTAGGAGAGAGGCTTATGGGAAACTTTGCAATGGAAGAGCTGGATGCCACCACCTAGGTATTCAGAGAAGTGAAAAGCTAGTTAGTATGTGCCTTTTAATATGATGCCATAGGAAGTACACGGCATTGTTCAGGAAGTATCCTTGCCAAACAATTGAATCTAAATTAATTAAGCCCTAGATTTAACTTCCAGTGTATAGGAAATAAAGGGGAATGAGGCACATGTTAAATAATACCTCAAGGAGGCAATAAAACAAATCCAGATGGTGAGACATTCTGCAAGATACCCAACAAGTTTTTCAATTGGTAAGTGGCACGGAAACAAAGAGGGAGAAACTGTTATAGATGGAAAGAATCTTCAGATTTGGAATCTTACTGGAATTTATTTATTTATTTTTTTTGGCGGTACGCGGGCCTCTCACTGTTGTGGCCTCTCCCGTTGTGGAGCACAGGCTCTGGACGCGCAGGCTCAGCGGCCATGGTACACGGGCCCAGCCGCTCCGCGACATGTGGGATCTTCCCGGACCGGGGCACGAACCCGTGTCCCCTGCATCGGCAGGCGGACTCTCAGCCACTGCGCCACCAGGGAAACCCTCAGCACCACTCTTAAGACAGAAGTTTGGAAGTACCTCTGGGTTGAGATCTGCTCTCCTTCCTCCCTGTTCAGTTTCAATAAGAAGCCCCCCAAACTATCTTCATCTACTACCCTGGTGTGGACAACAGTCAGAAGATAGATAGCCCAAGCTTCTTTCTAACCTTGGAAGTGGAGCTTGCCCATGAGGAAATTCATGCTGGTTCCCACAAACTCTCAGGCATTCGATGTAAGCCCATGTGTCAAGAAATATCTCTGACTGCCGTGCAAAGGGCATGGGACTTTATCCGTTCCTCCAGGAATCCTTCTTTGAATTAACAACCTCCATCTTCTCCTTGAGTCTCCATATGAAGCCTTCCTTCAAGCTTCCTGTACACAACTTAGCATTAGTGATTACTGTGTGGTAATGGCAAAGGGTGTATTTGGCTCCTGTTCCCTGTCCCAGTGTGTCACTGGAGAGCCAGAACGATGTACTTGCTTGCACTAGCACGCTGCCTGGTACTCACAGGAGATCAAAAAAGGGTAAAGGAGTTTAGATCTTTTTCTTTTGCCACTAACTAGCTGTGTGATCTTGGGAAAGCCCTGTCACTTCTCAGAGTCCCAGTTCCTTTATCTCTAAAATGGGGGTGGTAGAAAAGAATGAAGGAAGAATTTGACTATCTACCTTTCTGCTGTCACAAATGAAGGCTTTGAACTACATTTAAATGACCTCAGTGACTATCCTCTTAAGATGACGATTCTCTGGCTACCACTTCTATTTCCCCCCACCTCCCTAAATCAGAGAGACACCTCCCTAAATCAAAAACACTAACTATTGCAAAAAAAAAAAAAAAAGGCAGGAAGCATCCCTGTTCTGGGGGAGTTGATTGGCTACCCTTGGCACCTGCAGAGCTGTTGGCTAGACAAGATGTTAATAGCAAGAGTCATGCAATACCTTCACAAGGCGCTCTGGGCGCTCTTCCAGCTGCCCTCCCACTACCTCCCTGTCTCTGTCCAGGTGAGGTAGACAGACTGGAGCTTGCATATATCCAAGAACGAGCTGCTCCTGATTTGGGCAGGACATGTTCTGAATCAGAGGCTGTCATCAACCTCAGCCTTGCAGGTACAGCCCCAGGCTATTCACACAGGAGGAGGGAGGTCCTGTACTCCCTTGGGGGCAAACCAAGCCTTTTCTCTCTCTGTGTGTGTGTGTGTGTGTGTGTGTGTGTGTGTGATTTTACTTGTATTCCACAAATGACAGCCACCAGGTGATAGGCCAGGAGAGGTCAGGTTGAAGGGAGGTTGACGTAACCATATCAAACAGCTGCTTGGTAGGCCCTTCAGTTTCCCACTTCTGAGAATGCTTTGATCATAGCATACCTGGCTTCTTATGTGTGTCCCCAGGCTGAGCCCTCAACAGTTTCCTTTGAATCCTCATCGAGTAAGGAGCATTAACCCAGCTTTCCCCTACAGCACCTCCAAGCACATTCACGGCTGTCCTGCCATTCCCAGCTCTGCTCTCCTCTTGGGGGCCAGTTCCAGCTTCCCTGAAAATCAGATAAGATTCCTTGAAAGCAGATGAATGAATGATGGCTAATCAGCAAATAATCACCAAGGCCCTAAAGAACCCAGATGCAATAAAAATAAGCAAACAGGGCTTCCCTGGTGGCGCAGTGGTTGAGAGTCCGCCTGCTGATGCAGGGGACACGGGTTCGTGCCCCAGTCCAGGAAGATCCCACATGCCGCGGAGCGGCTGGGCCCGTGAGCCATGGCCGCTGAGCCTGCGCGTCCGGAGCCTGTGCTCCGCAACGGGAGAGGCCACAGCAGTGAGAGGCCCGCGTACTGCAAAAAAAAGCAAACAATCAAAACCAAAAATAAAACCCACCACCAACAAAAAAAACACCCTTCCTTTTCAGAAGTCTCCAGCTAGAACAAAATGAGCAGTGGTCTGGGAGTCATGAAAGCGAGGTTCCTATCTTCATACCGACTTTGCCACTAACTAGCTCTGTGACCCTGACCTGCATTCCACGGGCCTCACTGACCTCCTTTGAAGTGGCTCTGGGAGCTGGCAGAGTTGGTGGAATGCACAAGATAAAAACAGAGAACAATTTTAGAGTGGATAACACACATTCGGTCGTAACCTTCCCTGATGCAGGGCTCTGTGCTTGCTTATTAGAAAGCTGAAATGGGGGTCCCCATGGCTTTTTGTGCAAACCCTACTATATCACAGTAATCTTTGTAAAACACAAATCTAGTTCTGTGCCTGTGCTCTCCACCCACACACCCACCTAAATGGTGTCAATAGCTTTTCATAAATCTTTTTTTTTTCCATAAGTCTTAAAATAATGACCACAGTCCCTACCGCTGTCTACCAGGCCTTGCAAGGGAGCCTCACCCAAACCACCCTTCCTCTCTCTGTCTATCTCCTTACACTCCCCTTTTCAGTCCCCTGAACTCATCAGGCTTCCTCCCAACTCAAGGTTTTAACACCTAGTTTCCTCATTATGTTCCTTACTCCATTCACCCCTCCCCATTCTACCTGCTTAAATCCTGTGTGTGCCTCCTTTCCTTAGACAAGCCTTCCCAGAAACCCCAGGGGAAGTGAACAGCCTCTGTTTTGCTTGTGTCACACTCTGTACTTTTCCTTTGTGGCCCTTATCACTAGCATAATA